AAAAAATAAATATACAAATCAAAAGACAAATGCATAAATCATAAAATAGATTCACAATTGTTTCGTTGTATACTTCATCACTATTATAGAGGATCAATCAGTTATCATACATTATGCATAGGTGCACATACTTATCACTGGTTTTCCATGTAACCGAATACGAAACGACATACATAAGTACTTTTAAACACTGCTACCCCCCAAACACGATACGGTTAGGGCACGCATATCAGATTATTTTTCTATACAATTGAACACAAAACAGTTATATATGAGTACACAGTTATCACTTCGCTAATACAATCGAACATGGAACGGTATATATGGCCACATTAAAGCTTAGCATAATGCAAATGCTTTCGGAATAACTCTTTTCCATTATGAGTTATGCACACATATCAAAATCATATTTTAAGAACACAAAGTGAAATAACACTTATATTGAAATAAAACTTTAACAAATACTTACTTAGCAAATACGAAAAACAAATTAAATATTTGCACATTTTATACTGAAAATACGTAAAATAATTTAAAGTTATGTAGACTAATGAATCCATAATATCCACTTACCTTAGGTCCTTAGCAGTTGCAATCTTAATTTCGATAGAATTCTGACTTTATTTATGATATTTTTCTCTCATATATCTAGCAAAATTTTAGGATGATTTTTTGTCACTTTCTCGACTCAAAAATATCCAACACAATACTCAAAAACTAATCCCAAAATTTAAAGAGAAACTGAACTTCAAAACTTAAGAAAATGCTTATATTTCTAACAGTTTATAACATTCTTTTGACTGTGAGCCTTTTGCCTCTTTTCTATCTCTTCCTTTACTCATGAATTTAGTAGAGTTTTTCCAAAGTTTTTATCTAAAATCTCACAATACTCATAAAAATAACACACTTCGTACTCATTCTTCTTTCCTCATCTTTATGGTTCTCACTATTTTTCTCTTATATGAAATGTCTCTTCTTCCATTCTCTCATTCCCTATTTATAAGAGTGAGGAGCCACGAGAGAACGGTTGTTACCATTCTGTTATGCCACTTAATCTAAAAATTGTCACATTTCATCATGTCATTTCATCTAAAAGATTATCACTTTTCACATGTCACTTCATCTAAAATATTACTCCTTTTCACATACCACTTCATTTAAAATGTTACTACTTTTACATGTCATTTCATCTAAAAATTGTAACTTTTCGTTATATCGTTTCATGTAAAAGTTACAACTTTTCACATGTCACTTTATATAAAAGTTGTCACTTTTTGTTATGTCATTTCATTTAAAAATTATCAGTTTCTATTATACCACTTCATCTAAAAAGTTTTCACATTTTTTTTCATGTCTCTTCATATTTATTCTACCTCATTCAGCCTTATCCATTATTTTTTTCGTTTGACCTAAACTATGTTCTTAATCTTATTGTATATTTTCAAATGCACAGAAATACTAAATTAAATATATCAAATACAAGAAATTAATTTGGAAGTATTCTTGAGCTATCACATCAATTATATCGAACATTATAGGTTATTTACCATCAACCTATAATATTACGTAAGTTATTTTAAAAGTTTATAATAAAATACTTAATTAGATAAATCTAAATTAAACAAAGTTCTTTAATAAAAAAAATATAATGTTATACAGGAGATAATATAGTTAATAAAATTTAAAAGATGAAAAGCTATATAATCAACATTCTAGATGTTGAATGCTTGTAACTTGATATCAAATTATTTCTTTTTAAAAAATCGTAATTTTTTTTAAAAATGATGAAGATTGCAAGCTAAACTTCTTGAACACTTCTAATTTAACTTTCTTTATCAAAAAGCATTTTAAATTTACTAGATATTTCTTTTGTAATTAATAATTACAAGTTTACTTTTGCTTTAATACCATTAAATTATTTTAATAAACTTTACACGTGTTAAATAAATATAATTAATAAAAAAATTATATTACTTAGAGTTGGTTGTTTAATACATGAGTTAGAAAGATAAACAATAATAAAAAAAATTTAGTAAGATAGAGAAATATCTATATGTATATATTTTCTGATTGTTCTTAATTTTTTTATAAAATATTACCTTAAAAATTTATGGGAACTACTTAAATTATACTGATAAAAGAAGTTAACTATATAATGACAAAAACTTTAAATATAAATATATATTTTTAGCTTTTTAAAATTTGAAGAAGATATCAAATTGGTGCTAGATATTCAAAAATAAAAATATTTTATAATATGTAAACACTTTAAAATACTTCATAAACACTCTTGTTGTTGATAATTAATCAAACAAAATGTGAACATATCCTAAATGATCAATGATCTATGGCCTAATAATATGATATTTTTAATGTGAATTAAAAATAGAATAATTAGATTCGCAAGGAATATTTTACTTTTTATCACACATTTAAAATTTTTGTACATCAATGGCTTTTTAATTAATCTAACTCTTAAATTTAAATTTATTTTTATATTAATTTCTTTGTACGATTTATTTAAAAATTTATAAACTTTTAACGCTCATATATATCATGTATGTTATTATATTTTACACATTATTGCGTGTAGTACATCATATTTTTATATTTTAGTTAAAAAATTAAATTAAATTTTTAACTCATTATACTTATTTTAATTAATTTATAAATGTACGTATTTTTATTTTTAAAAAGAATTACTTAAATTAAGTTAGTTTTCACAATTTTTAAATATAAAAATATACATTTTATTAATTATATGATACATATATAAATCTTATAATACAACATGTTTTTATAGATGATGCACAAAGCTTACAACCTACCACAAATCCATAAACATCTTATAGAAATAGATGTATACCAATAATTTAGTTAAAAATTTATTGGTAAAAAGAATATTTCGCATAATATAGAATAAAATATAACAACTATAGTATGAGCATTAATACTTACATTTATGCCTAAGCAATATTAGATCAATCAAACCAACTCTAGTATGATAAGCTTTCATGGTTCACTCATGAGATACATGAACCAATGTCACCATCATTCAAGAGTGCTTAGTTCAATAATTACTCCAAATTTTGTCACTTATTAACAATATAATTCATTCATTAGTAAATTCAAATTTCACCAATTTTACTAGATCTACATCAAATCTTATGATTTTAGGTTTTCATTTTACATGAGAACCAGAGAAAATATTATAAATGGTACTAAAAAAATTGTATAAATTAATAACTATTGCTTCATAATTTTAGTCTAGTAAATACAATTGAAAATAAATTTTTTGAAATGTAAAAAAAGATTACGAGCAAAAAGAATTGTCTGAGTATTTATAAATTTGACCATATCTATTAGGAGCGAGAAAAGAAATAAGAGATAAAAGATAGTGAACATAGACGTAGAGTTGCAAATGTTAATTTTTATTAAAAAAAAATATTTAAATGGATTAATTTAGTTATTTTCACATAACTTGCACGTCCTTAAAAGGGTGTGTATATATATATAAATATATATGATACTAATTAAAACATATATAGTATTTTCAGGTAATTTATTAATATTTGAATTTAAAGTTTAATGTTTGAGTATTTTTAGTATTAAAATTAAAATATCTAATAACACATGTTCTCTAAGGTTTTATATCATTATTGTTCATTTTGTGATGGATAAATAAACTTATGTAACTATTATTTACTTATAGAAGTAATGTATATCTTTAAATAGGCAATAAGTGTTATATAGCAACTAAGATGAAGATATTTATAACAAATAAGATGAAGATATTTTTATATTATTTAATAGCTAACAATGTATAAATATTATCTAAATATTACATGGTATTTGTATTTGTATTTTTTTTTTTTTGTCATTGTATTTATACCCGCATCTTCAGCTTGATGGGTTCTACTCATTGCTAGTTAACAACTATATATAGTTTACTATTTCCTTATGCATCAAATTTGTCATCGATTAATATAGTTTTTTTTTTATTTAATATTGATTATGATTCATTACTATTTATTTCATATAATAACTATTTTTTTTATATAATATTGATCGACATAATAATTAATGATTAATATAATAATAAATACTAATAAAAATCAATAATGGACTATATTTCATTGACAATCCTAACTAATTATAGATGATTATTTGCTAATATCTCTCGAATAGGCAAATGTATTCCAAAAAATCATCTATACTAAACTTGTATAAAAACAATACGTAAATTGAGTTTATTCTAAACTTTAATTATATATCAAACAAAAACATATGCTTTTATGTTGGAAATTTATCTAGAATTTGATCTATAAATAAAATAAAAAAATCATTACTGCAATATAGCAATAAAAAACATGTAAATTAAAGCTTAAATGATCATATTTACTACATTCTCTTATTGTGATATATATATATTTTACATAAGATTTTTAGTAATATATCTTTAGTTCAAGGAACAAATAAAACAAATATTTATACAATTGAAAAAAAAATCCAAAACATGCAATTTAAAATCTAAAATTTTAAATTAAAATAAGATATTATTTTACAAAAAATTTAATTTTTTAAAAGCGTATTGTATTATCGTACAAAATATTAATATAATATTTAATCAAAAATCAAGATATAAAGTATTGAAATCATATTAAATGATAAATTATAAGTACTCGCTAAAAAGATTGAACAATTAAAAAAAATCAATTTATTTGAGTGTACTTCAACAAAATTTATTAAGTTTCTCATTATGAAAAAAATTTCTATTTATAAAGGGGACCTAAAATTTCTCAAAGAAGAAAAGCTAACATCTGACTAACAGAAATAAGAAAACAGTCAAAGGGCATTAAGCTAATGCTGACACGTCATACTGATTAGAACATTGACGGTTGCGATTTCATCTAAGATGCCACGTGGATAAAAAAAACTATCCTAAACTGAACAGGCCTCTACCATATCAGCACCCACGTTCTCCATTTCATGCTTACATTTTCAGGTTTCGAAAAATGTCGTCAAACGGCGGACCTTCTCTGTGTCTCTCTGGCGACGACAAAATTGGGTCGAAGGTTAAAAAAATAAAAATGGAAAAGAAAAGAAAAAAGGAAACGACGAAACCTCAGTACATGTTAACGGCTGTAACTCATGGGGCGCACGTTAGCAACTCCCGGTGCGCCCTACACCGTCTGTGTCCGCTACGGTTCTTCTCTTTCTCTCAATATTCTCTAACCCCCTTATCCTACGCACCCCTCTTTCCTTCCTCGTCATTCTCCCCTCTTATCCTCTAGGGCTCTGCTTTACTCCTATTTCGCTTCGTATTTTTTCTTTTTCCTAGCATTCAATTCTCCATGCTATTCGCATACCTAGGGTTTAGTTCATCAGGGTTATCTTTGCCGTCTCTTCGCGTCGTTACTCATGGACCCGGGGAGGAGGCAACCGAAGGATTCGTTATCATATTCGAATCTTTTCAATCTTGAGGTTTGTGATTTCTTGAAAATTTTCCTTCAGCTTTCCGGATTGAGCTGTATTTTTCTGCATTTATGTTATTTTATTATTTTTTAGGTTGTGAATTTTATTGTTAATTTTTTATTTTCGTTTTTAAATTTGTAATGTAGTCTTTGATGAACTTCAAGGTTCCACAACCAGATGATGATTTTGATTATTACGGGAATAGTAGTCAGGATGAGAGCAGAGGTAGCCAAGGTAGTTACTTGAAAAACTCAGTTAAGATTGTTTGCAAGTGTATATCGTTTAAATTTTGTTAATTTGTGTTTGTAGTATGTGCCCTGCGTTTAGGTTTTCTTTAGTGAGAAAGGTGATCTGGAGAGGCATGGACTAACTTTAGTATTCTTTCTTTGTATGCTTGGGTTGGTTTACTATTAATTGACAGGTGTAAACCATGTCAATGGCTCTACTTCAGAAAGGGAATTGAGCTTGGCAAAGAGAAAGTGGTGGTCTCACGGAAGTGACGTGGAGGACGAGGTTGGTGATTACAGGACTCACATCACAGAAGAGAGATATCGATCAATGCTTGGAGAGCACATACAGAAATACAAGAGGAGGTTTAGGGACTCCTCTTCTACTCCTGCTCCAGTTCGGGTTGGGATCCCAGTTTCCAAGAGCAACTTGGGTGGTTCAAAATCTGGGAGATTAGGGAATGAGCAGCGAGGAGGATTCCAGGACATTGAACCTGATTGGCTCAATGATTTTAGTTCTCAGAAACCTGGAAACTATCTTGAAGCAGATGTTACACCAAAGTATGATACTTATACACATTTTAATTTTAACATTCAACTGCTGCTTACAGTTTACTTACTCTTTTCATCATTATGATGTACGAAACTTTAGTAGATATCTTGATTTTTATATTCACAAAGGTAATTTCTTTTTATGAAGAAATATGATCCATGTATGCTTTGCAGACTGATGTATGAACCTGCTTATTTGGATATTGGAGAGGGTATCACTTACAAGATCCCTCCAAGTTATGACAAGCTTGCAGTGTCATTGAACTTGCCAAGCTTCTCAGATATTAGGGTGGAGGAGTTTTACTTAAAAAGTACTTTAGATTTGGGGTCCTTGGCAACAATGATGGCGGGTGATAAAAGGTTTGGACCAAGAAGCCGAGCAGGGATGGGAGAGCCCCGACCCCAATATGAATCTCTTCAGGCAAGATTGAAGGCCTTGGCGGCTTCCAATTCAGCTGCAAAGTTCAGTCTCAAGGTGTCAGATGTTGGTTTAAACTCTTCGATCCCAGAAGGGGCTGCTGGAAATATACAGCGGTCTATTCTGTCAGAGGGTGGTGTATTGCAGGTTTACTATGTTAAGGTTTTGGAGAAAGGAGATACATATGAGGTCTGTCTTCTTTTCAGATTAGTAAAGATTATGACTATCGTTTTAGTCCTTCAATGGAGCCGGTTATGTCATTCTTTCTCAGTTTTCAACACATTGGCTGCAGATAATTGAAAGAAGTTTACCCAAGAAGCAAAAGGTGAAGAAAGACCCTTCTGTTATTGAGAAAGAGGAAATGGAGAAAATTGGGAAAGTTTGGGTTAACATTGTCAGGAGAGACCTACCAAAGCATCATAGAATTTTCACTACTTTTCACCGAAAGCAAATAATCGATGCTAAGAGATTCTCAGAAAATTGTCAAAGAGAGGCATGTATATTCTCATAGTCAGTGATGATTAAACCTGTATCATTGTTTATATAATGCTCCAATATTTTTCAGTGGACTTCATTATCTCAAAATTTGGTGGTCTATTAACACTCAAATTGATTGACAGGTAAAACTGAAGGTTAGCAGATCACTTAAGTTCATGAGGGGTTCTTCAATTCGCACTAGGAAATTGGCTAGAGACATGCTGTTGTATTGGAAGCGAGTTGACAAGGAGATGGTAACTCCTTTCCTGCCCTTTTGAAGGTTCCTTTGATTAGAATTGTGACATGTCTGTGATTGTTGCATTCTCAAGTTCTTGCTTCTTTGTTTTTCATATTTTTACTTGAATGCCATCTGTAAGAACTTGCAGGTCAGGTCCTGTTTGGTCCAAGCTCTTGCTTGGGCTCTTAAGGATGACAATTTTTATTCAACTAGTCTACTAATAAAAAAATTTAAATTCAAGAATAAAAATTTCTCATTAAAGCTTAGGAATGGTAATATACAACTGCCTGTTTTATTTTAAAAAAAATGACTGCCTGTTTTTTGGTTCATGTTGATGTAGCTGACACCTTAATGCGGCACGTTTTCTGCATGAAAATAAATGGAGGCTGGACCTAATTGCTTAACCTATTTTACGGATTCTTTTATTATTTATTGTCATTATTCTTGTTTTTCCTTATTCTTCTAAACAACTTGAACATGGAGTTATCTGATGTTCAATCCCTTGCACAGGCAGAAGTGAAGAAAAAAGAGGAAAGAGAAGCTGCTGAAGCATTGAGGCGTGAACAGGAGCTTCGAGAAGCAAAGAGACAGCAGCAAAGACTCAATTTTCTCATACAACAAACAGAACTTTACAGTCATTTTATGCAGAACAAGGCAAATTCACAGCCTTTGGAACCCATGTCAGTTGGAGATGAAAAACCAGGCAGCCAAGAAATGCTTTTGAGCCCTTCTGATGCCGAGCCTAGTGAACAAGAAGATCCTGAGGAGGCTGAACTGAAAAAAGAGGCTCTGAAAGCTGCCCAAAATGCAGTCTCTAAGCAAAAAAAGTTAACTAGTGCTTTTGATACTGAATGCTTGAGGCTACGCCAAGCTGCTGAGACTGATGCCTCTTCAAATGATATCTCAGTAGCTGGGTCAAGCAACATAGATCTTCATAATCCGTGAGCTATGCTTTGGTCTTCATTTTAGCTGATGCTTTCCTTTCACCCAACCTACTTTGTTCTCTGGAGCTTTTCAGTTAGTTAATAGCTTTTCACTTTGAATTTGCAGCTCCACCATGCCTGTAACATCAACAGTTCAGTCACCAGAGTTGTTCAAAGGTTCCCTCAAAGAATATCAACTAAAGGGCCTCCAGTGGCTGGTTAATTGTTATGAGCAGGTTGTGGATATATATCTGTGTGTATATAGTACTGATTGTAATTCAGATATAAATACCGTTTAACTGGTTTTTTTTCTAGATGGTTGTTCACTGAAGATCTCATTTTCTTTCAGGGTCTGAATGGTATACTAGCTGATGAGATGGGCCTTGGGAAGACTATTCAAGCAATGGCATTCTTGGCACATTTGGCTGAGGTAATTATTATACTGATTCTTATGTCTTTGTAGCTATTCCACATGGTGAGTTGAATTTCTTTTCTTTTACAGGAGAAAAATATATGGGGGCCTTTTCTGGTTGTTGCACCTGCTTCGGTCTTGAATAACTGGGCTGACGAAGTCAAACGATTCTGCCCTGACCTGAAAACTCTTCCATATTGGGGTGGGCTTCAGGAGCGGATGATATTGAGGAAGAACATCAATCCAAAGCGTCTTTATCGAAGGTAATTTGGCTTTTGTATTTTTGATTGTTAACTTCTGTCTAACGTTTATTAGAGTAATAGCTACTGATTCAGACTTTTTTTTTCCCTTTTCTGATTATGACTATTTGGTTAAATGTCTTTGAAATTTCATGCAGTTTGTATTCACTTTTCCCATCTAACTTGATTGACTTGAACACTATAGAGTGTGGTTCAGCACAGAGTAATCGAAATTTGTGAATATGTTCACTGCTGGCTCCCTAGCAGAGTGGGAGACGGCAAGAAGGCTCTTTTTTTTTTTTTCCAAAAATGCTAGAGAGAGAATTTTATGTGCGTGTAGAAAGAGAATTCAACTAATATTGCAAGTGGGCTTATTTTTTTTCTTCATTTAGATTCTGGAGTGAGAAACCCTCTGTTAGTAAGGCAAGTGGTGCCTTTGGCGAATGCGTACATGAGGCTGATCTGTGGTGGTTAGAAAGCTTGATCACTTTGTTGAATAAAGCAAGTTGACCACAGGGTTTACACATTAGGGTTGTTAGGAACAATATGTCAATAATACCTAGATAGGGAGACAATTACAAATAAGATTTCTACTCTAACTAGAAATAGCAAACTTATTCAAACTCTAATACCCTTCTGCTACTAATATCGTATAACAGTATGATTGATGGTCCAGCATCGGGTCGACGTTTATTCACTTTAGGAGTCATTCACTTTCTCTTGATGATAACACATTCTGCTAGGAATCATTTTCTTTTAGTATGTGATGGGGGAAAAATATAGGGACAGCGGGTTGGGGCTCCAAAACCCACCTTAATGTGGTAAGGGTCCAGGGGATTGATCAACATCATCCACAGGGAATCAGTCTTTGACTCTTGTATTAATGTTTTATGCTAAACTTCTCAAGAAATTTCACAGGATTAGTGTTTGTTCAAAGTCATTAACTTATTTTATCAATAAAATTGTTATTATTATTATTTTTAAATACAGGGAGGCTGCATTTCATATTCTTATCACCAGCTATCAACTACTAGTTTCTGACGAGAAGTATTTTCGGCGTGTGAAATGGCAATATATGGTTTTAGATGAAGCTCAAGCAATCAAAAGTTCTAACAGGTTTCCATCTTATCTTTAAAGCCGTAGAGGGAATCAAGCTAATGAGTTTTTTTTTTCCTTTTCCTTTTGTTATTCACTAGCATGATAATTGAGGCGTATCTGCTAGGTTTGTTCCCCCTTCAGCAGCCACATT